AGAGTTATATAAGATATTGTAAGTATGTATATTCTTGAAATCGCTTCCTTGACGAAATATGAATCCCAGCATACTGTAAGCTTTGGCTGTTATTTTATTTACATGGTGATCAAATATTAAATCATCATCAAGAAGAACTCCCAGGTCCCTCACCTCGGTCACTCTTTTCACTACTTTATCATAAATCATATAGTCAAATATTATTGGATTTATTTTTCTACCAAATGTAATAACATAGCACTTTTCAATGTTAAGATGTAAACTATTGGATAAGCAATATTGTTTTAAAGTAATTAAATCATTTTGTAATTTAACGCAATCATCAGTTTGTTTAATAATTTTAAATATTTTTGTATCATCAGCATATAATAATATATTAGAGTTTTGAAAAGTTTCTAATAAGTCATTAATAAAAATATTAAACAGCAAAGGACCGAGATGCGAGCCCTGGGGCACTCCAGATGTAATAGGGATAAAACTAGATATATGTCCTTTTATCGCAACTGCTTGTGTTCTGTCACGGAGGTAAGATATCAACCATCTTAATAAATCACCGTGTATACCAATATACTCAAGTTTCTTAATTAACAACGCATGTGGAATTTTATCAAAAGCTTTTGAATAATCAGTATAGATGACATCAACCTGATATCCCCTCTCCATGGCAGAAAGAACTATATCCAGAAATTCAGTAAGATTAGATTCAATAGAACGTTTACCAATAAATCCATGTTGTTGAGTTATTAATAACGGTCTTACTAATGGAAAAATATTGTCATAAATAATTTTCTCAAATAATTTAGGAATGACGGACAACTTTGATATACCACGATAATTTTTTATATTATGTCTATCACCGCTTTTAAAAATGGGAACAATTAAGGACTTTTTCCAAACTGGTGGTAGTGAACCAGAACATAAAGACTTAGTGAACAGTAAATATAGAGGTAATGCTAGAGATTTGCAACAACTTTTTAAAAATGTGGGATGAAGTCCATCTGGACCACTGCCTTTAGAAGCGTCTAGATTTGAGAGATATTTTTCTACGGTGTCGCACGATACGCTTATTTTGTTAATTAATGTTTGATTATGTTGAATTAAACAATGTTCATCGGGTCCTGGGTCAGTATTGGATTCGAATACTGATTTAAAGAAGCAGTTGAATAAATTAGCAATAGTATTCCCATCAGATCCAGTTTCACCATCCAGAAACATGGTATCCGGTAGATTATTATTACTTTGTTTTGATTTAATATATGACCAAAATTTTTTAGAATTATAATGAATACTGTCCTCTGCTCTTGAAATAAAAGTGTCATAACATTCTACTTCTAACTGTTTAGTTTTATGTCTTATATCAGTAAATAGGTCATAGTCACTTGTTCGGCCATAAATTTTCCAACGTTTATGTACTCGCAATTTCTTGTTAATGAGTTTTATTAATGATCTTGAAAACCATACTGGATATTTGGATGATTCATGTACTGTTCTGGCTGGTATATATCTATCCAATACATTATTGATAATTAAGTAAAATTTGTCAACCGCTTCAATCACTTCAAGGGGTGAAAGTTGTTCAACCCAATCAATATTATTTAATTCATTGTTAATTGCTTCATAATCCGCAATATGGAAACGGCGTATCATGCGTGACGCAGAGCGTAAATTAGGTTCATTTACATTAACATTTGTTGATATGAAAAAAGATGGATGATGCATGTCTTCAGGTAATGACAACGGCTCAGTTCTTTTAACAACACAATTACAATTAGAAAGCACAAGGTCTAGTAATCTATTATTAATATTAAAGATTTTATTAAATTGACACCAGCCACTAAAACTCATAAATGCAAATAATTGCATAATCATATTGTTGCCTGAAGGATTCTGAATAACAAGACTGTTTTCAGTATTAATTGACCATAAAATGTCTTTGATGTTAAAATCTCCTAACACAATAAATTTATCATTAGGATTACTAATGGTTAAGTCCGATAAAAAGTCAAAAAAAGAAGCTTCAGAATCACACTGATTGACATTCTGAGGAAAATAACAACAAAACAGTCGTAATTTCAATTTTAAATAATCTTGTCCGATTATAATATTAACAAATGATATATCAGCGTCTGGAAAAGACAATGGCATTCCTGAGTGTTGCACATCAACACATAAGCCATGGCGTACCGCTATTAGAGTACCTCCACCCATACTCACCCCAAGGCGTGTATAGTCACGATCATTACGATACACATTATAGCGGGGATCAAAAAGTTCTTCATCGAAAATACCCGGAAGTAACCATGTCTCACTTAAACAAATTATGTCATAATTAGTGTTTAACAAATTAGTATAAAATAGTTTAGTTTTGGTGCGCAAACCTCTAACATTTTGATAGAAGATACGTAAGTCCATATTAATATATACTACTTTTTGGGTAATAATGCTTATGTGTTATAATACTAACTGACTTTAAAATAAATTTTAAAAGATTAAAATTTAGACCTAAGTGTTCGTATGACAATTTAAAATGACAGCACTTTTTAAAATATTCAATATTACATACTAGCTCAAAGTTTATAAAAAATACAGTAAACATTTTAACGACGGTAAATACAAATATAATAACAATTAAAAACTTAATAAAATAGATTTTCGTGATCACAGTCATGATAACACTTATGAGATCTTGTTTAAACATTCCTTAGAAGTAATGTGAATAACAGGCGAGTTATCGGTCTTACGAACCATAACCGTACAGTTTCGGACCCAACAGTATAAGTAGCCTTTATCTTTCACTCTACGTCTAGCCTCACTGAGAAGAAGCTTGTTGTATGCGGACAGGTGATCATTAATATATATCGGATTATTTTTACCAGGGAACCCAATGTCGCTTGCTTTCAGGTTTTTTAATTTACGTAGTGATGAAAGAAAGTCATCTTTTTTATATCGGGCTTGCATTTTCAAAATAATCGGACGGGAATGATTATTATGTGACGTATCATTTTTTACCGCAACTCTTGTTACAAAATCAACATCCGTATTGAAGTTTAAAGGATATCCACTTTTTTCGGCTAATGTTTTTATAATAGATATTAAATTCTCGCCCTTCTTTTGTGGAATGCCATTCATTTGTATGTTAGAACGGCGCACCCATTGTTCATTCCTGTTGTTACTTTCCGATAGCTCTTTAAATTTTAACTTAAATTCCTCGAGTTCCGTTCCAAGCTTATCTATTTTAGATACTTCAATATCTAGGTTATTCATGTGTTCTACTACCGAATTAATTGACGACTCGACAGATTTGATTTTTGTTGACCAAAAGTTAACAGTCTCAGAAAGCTTTTTCAGTTCCTCGGTGATAAAAGTTTTAAAAGATTCCATAGAAGAATGTAAACTGTTGAAGCGGTCATCAAAATGATCAATTAATGATTTTATGTCCAATTGGGATTGAGATATATTAATCTTTTCAGAGGTGTTAGGAAGTTTAGGGCTAATATTGTGACAAGGCTTCTTGGAAATCTTACAAACTGGACATTTCCACTTTGCTTTATTCATAGGAAGTATCTTTTTAAAATCTGTTTCAGTCATACCAACACATAAATAGTGATAGATACTATGACAAACTGTACATTTAATTATATCTTCAGATTTTAAAGCATTAGAACAATGTTTGCATTCCATTATGTTATTTGAAATAACGCAGGTAGAAATCAGCTGGAGTATTATTTATCTAATGCTTCAAGTGCAACGCGTATGGTTAAACGCACTCAGATTAACGACCAAAAGGTCGTAAGTGCGGCTAAATTTCTAAGAACTTACGCGTTTTCTTCAAAACCACGCACAATTCACACTGTTTAACGAATAACTTTTTTAATTTGTTATTTCCTTTAAAGTCTTTTAATAAAAACAATTGGTATTAAATTGTTTGATAAAAACTGTACCTATTTTCGAAAAGTTCACTCCAAATTATCGACTTTGTCACGATAATGAATTTTAATTTACGTAGTAATCACAAACAGTTGTTTATACAGTGACAGCACGATGCACGAAATTATACATATTAATTTCATTTTAAAATAAAAAAATCTTCTCTTCATATGTAGAAGTAATAAAAAAACTCATAACAAGTAAATTGTTCCTATATTTAAAAAAATGTTTAAGTGATATGCTTATTAAAATAAACAACATAGAGTACTTATGGCAATTGACCTGAAATACACTGGTACTTATGAAAATCGCGTAATTAAGAAGTAAAGTTATTTTAATATACTTTACATACTCAATTTTATACCTTCTTCAATATTTTTTTATAATATAAAGCAAATTCTTTAATTAAAAAAAATCTTATACTACGTTAAATACTTAACCAACATTGCAAATTTCAATTAAAACTATAGTATTTAATTAAAAACTAACTCTAGTACCAATCAGCTTAGATCAAAAGTTGGAAGTTAACATTCAATCAATGCCCAGTCCACCAATGTCTTCTATTTTTCCATTCAGTTCTATTTACTTACTTATTTCAGCTAAACCAATAACGTTTAATAATAACAGACTCACTTAATAAGAAAATGCAATAAATGCTTTAGTTTAGGAAAGAAGTTTCAACTTAATAAGAGGAAAGAAATAAACAAAAAATCGTTTAAGTTTGCATCGGTGTTAGTAATATTATATTAATAATAATTATCAATATAATTATTTAACTGTTAATTATGTTAATTATCAAAGAGATCCAAAGGAAATGCATAAACGTTTAATTTTTGCTCTTTATGTATTAGTATGTATTAATTTATATAAGTCCACTTATTACATAACAATATTTTTATCTCTTCGTTATAAATTATATAAGAAAATGATAATAATAATAAAAAAATACAGTAAAGACCTGGTGGTAATGTTCAAAGTTGATCATTTATAAATAATCATACGTAATACTTGCTTGTTTAAGTTTTCTCATTTGGATTTAATTATCCCCCCCTCCGGGGGCCGCCAACTCGACGTTGTTGGGCGGTTTGCCTGATCCAATGATCTCCAAGGCTATACCGGCAAGTTCTGCCATGCCAGACAGGCTTGGGGTGAGGGGCCAGACTAAGATCGGCAGCGTGGTCAGCCCAGAAGTCACTCCTGAATAACGGACAGGGTCGGAGGGTAGAGCCAGACGAAGAGCAGCGCAAGAGCAGTGTCAGTCCAGGTGTCCCTCTGATATAGCAGAAGACACAGTGGACGGGACCGAAAGAGGAAGTCGGTCAAAGGACTGATATGTTGGTGGGTCGGCTTAACCGCGGGCCGGAGGGGCTCCGGCCTCTCAACCCGTTATCTTCCCCTAGGATCTTGGCTTCACCGCCTGGACTGCGAGGCTGGTGTCCTGAATAAAAAACCGCCCCCAAATCCAAGGTGTGGTATCGTGCCGATGGATGCATAGCGTGGGGGGAGCTACGTCGCTAACGGAGCAACCCCGGTCGAGTGTGGCGCTGGCCGGAAGTATTTGCTTTCTCGCGAGAATGGGCGTCACCCCGCTAGTGATTTTTAGATTGGCTCTACTCCTGGGTTTAGTTGTGTTGTGTCGGAATGAAGAAACAAAAAAATCCTTAGATGTTGGTGGGCCGAGCTCGGGCGGAAGGGAGCAGGGAGATGAGAGGCCTAGCTCAGGCGAAGAAAAGAAGCAGGTGCCTATGGCGCTCCAACCAGTAGGGACTGTTAGTGTGCGGACGAGTAGTCCTACACCTCGCACTCTCCAGAGTCTGGTGGTGAGGCTCAGGCTCACCATTTTCAGGGAGCCTATCGAAATCATCATCTGTCGTCAGTATGATGTCCACCATCTCAGACGAGGAGGACATAAGCCGCTTTTGACGTTGTAAGAGAAGCGGAAGTTTTCTCGTAAGAACACGGCGGTCACCAGACGACAGGTTAAGAGTATGCGCGACCCTAAGTCTGCTGCCATAACGCCGGCGCTGCTTAATGATTTCAAAATATCCTCTAACTTTTATTGAGAAACTAGTTACTCTAAGATATGTATAAGATAAACAATTTCACCATACATTATTTTGTTACATCTCAAAGGGCTAATAGGCAGGGTTTCGTCAAAAGCTCCCAAACGTCTCAATTTTTTCTGACATCATCAACAAATTAAAAGCCTCCCAAGAATCACGCTATCGAATGATAAAAACAGCCTGAGAAGTGGTGTAATAGTTTTACTGTTTATCGCGAACAGACAGACAGACAGGCTCAACGGAGGAATTTTTTTTTATAATATGTGTTGATTGATTGATAATAATTAATGTAACAAATTGTATATTTAATTTTTACTAAGCAATTGCATAGCTTCTATCGTGGGCTTTGAGCTTGGAGACCGAATCCAGAAATTCCATAACGAAAATTCCTATCGTCAAACGTCGAAAACCTAATTACGCGACGTCACGTGCTCATAGACTTGCTAATAAATAGCTAGTGATTAAAGTAAAGTTGTGGCATCACACTAAAGAATACACTTCCAAACAACGAGCACTCTAAACCGTATGTATATTTAGCGAGCTACAAAATACTGATATAATAGTGCGATTCAGAACTCGACATTAATACGTGTGTTGCTTTCGTATCCAATTTTTCTTTTTACTCCGACCGATTACTTTTATGATTTTGTATTCTTGTTGGTTTATTTTAGATTTGTTTTTTATTTTAAATAATAAAAAACAACTACTTTTCCAATACTTTAAAATGCTATGCAATCGCTTTACCGCGCAGTATCCGAGTGCCACACGTTTTTTTTATCTTAAAACTAGCAGCCCTACATAACTACCATACGCGGATACCATAACCATATGCGGATTACAGACCTAGTGACGTTAATTTTTAAAAATTATAAAAATGGGTAACCTGATTTTTTACGATATTAACATTTTAAGTTTAAATAATCTCTATTAAACCTTTTCCTGGTCTACGAATATCAATAAACACTGAAAACCACATGTTTTTTCAAGGGTCCTGTATATTTTTTACATATTGTTTGTTCTACATTTATTGAGATTTTATTTTCAACTAAATGTTCACATAAAATATTACTTGTACGCAATATTTTTTTAGAATTAAATGTTTAATGTTTTATTGATATTAAAATATGAGTATGATTACATTGGCCTAAACCTCTGAGTTCGTACTCAGAGGGTAATTAATTTAAAATTTAAAAAAAGGTACGATAACAAAAGCTACGAGTATGATTTGAATTACCAATTTCATGGATATTTCGTCCGTGTTATTTTACAATTGAGTTGTATATTGTTTTCTAGATTGTCGGTTTATTTCACGTTTTGAACTCAATGTTGTTTAAAAATATAGTTTTATTCCAATAACCGCTTCCTCTTGATAATGTTAAAGATATCTTAAATCACGCCACCTTTCCAAATGCATGGTCAGCATTGGCTGCTCTCATCCCAAAACCAAAGCGTACACCTGTGTGGCTCTTATTGTTTGAGTATCAAATTCTAGAAATGTTCATTAAAATACTAAAATAATTTTTCTTGTAATATACATTACTGTTTTTAAATTTTCTACAATTGTACCCGAAAGCTATTTATTCTAAATATTCCAATGAAATGCATGCATAGTATATAGTAGTCAAACGTAACTTATATCAAAATATTTTTTTTCCTAGAACATTATGGGGGTCTATTTTTGCCAAATGGAAAATTATATTCATGTTTGCTTTATCAGCGTTGCTTTATAATGCAACGACCGGATTGAAGCTAACGAACTTAGAATGCTGTGTTTTTGTTACGTTTTTCATGTCCAAGGGGTTTTCAGGTTTTCAGGTCCAAATAAACTAAAGAAATATGAATTGTTGTCTAATTGTAATTTATTTTTAAAGAACCTTATTGTTTTGTTCAAATACGTTGTTTTATCTTTCCTATGTCCCAGAAATAAAATCGTAATAAATACTGGGAATTACACATCACAACTTTGTAACTTATGAAAATATATGAAATTTCACTTGCTTTTAATTACAATTTAATGCTTCCTTAGAATGAATATAAAAAAGAAAACAAAAAGAACACTGCAAGTTTAAGGGAATAGAAATTCATGTACATAAATATTAAATAAGTACATAGATTTTGCAACCAACTACGTAAGTACCGTCTAATATCCGACGTTTGATATCTCAGAACTTGTTTTCTGCAAGGGATTCAACCACATACAAGACCCAACTTTTTGAAAATTTTTATCTTTTTATGTTTCTCGTTAATGCAACAAGAAAATTTAATTATTTTCAAAACACCGCACTTATGAAATATAGGGTGCAAAAATCATATTATTTTCAATGAATGTGCTGTCACATTGTTACAGTTATTTGAGTATTACACTTGTGCAAAACTTTAAAAATTGACAAATTTACATCTAACATTTTCGAGTGTATCCACACATTTAATGAAATTAAATTTTTCGAATACCAGGAGTTTTATATTATTTTACCCCTACATGTTCACGTCGTTTTGATTGTTATATTATTTACTTTTCAGCAACCTCGAGTAAGTAATCGAAAAGTTAGGAAAATGTTACTGTAACTACTAAAAAAATTAATAAAAGCTTATGAAACACGTGGGATCCCAAAAAATTACTTTCATTTAAATACTTTAAGTTTATTTTTATGAGTTCTAATTTTTTCCACATATTAATTTTTTCAGTGTAACTGAAAAGTATTAAGCAATAACAACATTCTCTGATGAATAAATACATTTGCTGATATAATTATACATATTAGTGACAAATTCGTTTAAACATAATAATAGAACAATAGACATGTTCTTATGAATAAGTATCTTATACATATTTGTATACAACAAATAAACCAATTCTAGTGTAATTTAACGTCAAACTGTGAACAGAGATATTAAAATAATTACTACTAGCTGTGGCACGCGTCAAAAGAGGTAGCGTTTTTATTTCAATAAAAAATACATAAACTCATTATGAGGACTTCTAAGTAAATGCTAATTCTCTTTGTATTTGCTTCGGTTCTATATTTTTAAATATTGCTATTCATAACCTCATATTGAGAGTTATTGATTAGGATGTTTAAAAAAGTTTATATTTACTCAATTAAATATTTTACCTTGATATTAACGTGATTATATTAAAGTCTTCCTAGAGCTTATGAATTAAGCAGTTGATATTCTAACTGTGGTAGTTTTTAAACAACAATGGCGCTACACACAATATATATTCTTACATTCTTAAAACAATAACAAGAGATAAATTAAAAATGTAATAATATAGTGAATCCGTAAATGCGATAGGAGTGTGTGGAATTATAAATGAAGCAAAAAAATGAATGAACATAAAAAACTTGCTTTATATTAGTAAATTTTTTATTACAAAGAAAATTTAATATTTTAATTTAAAAATAATATTTCTAATAGTGTTTAAGTTTTCAATGAAGACTTTGGGATTTTTTTTATCCGTCCAGTTTTATTTTGACTGATAAACATAGACGGTTTAAACAAAGCACACATAATATGAGATAGAGCTCCAATAAATCCTGTTATAATTTCTATATAGATACCGCTACATATCCATTATGATTTAATTATATATGTATATGTACATGTTAAGTTATAGGAAATCTTTACCTACCTGCGAAACCAATTCTAAATATATACAGTTACTTATATTTGTACATAACAATTTGTGTGGACCCTACAATTGTCCAGCCTAAGGTGAACCAAGTCTGAACCGAAATAGGTTTTGCTGTGTTTTTTTATAAAAAATTAAGAGAACTGTTAAATACCCCAATTTAAAAGTTTTCAAAAATGATAATTTTACCTTTGTTTTTATTATAATTAATTATTTTTAATACATAAATACAAATTTATTTTGAGTATTTTTTTTATTTTTAATTATTCACAAATTTATAACATAAAATACACAATAACTGTTAAATGTAGCTTATCACAACAACGTCGGAAATTAAAATTCAAGTGCAGTTGTTCTCGCTGAATTTTATAAATATATCTTTATTGACGCTTCATAAGTTAAATCATATTCTTCAGTAATAGATATCTATAAAGAGATATTTTTTTAATCGAGTCGTTGTTTTGTTATAAATTAATTTAAAAATTCTGAAAAAACTACTTGAATTTCGTTTCAAATTTCTATTTAACATGAATATAATTCTGTTTGATTCACGTTTTCACTTTAGCCCCTCAAATTATTGTGCACATTTATAGTAGCTTCAAGATATTTCCAAATTTTACATTTATTATATTTAAACAAAGCCAAGAAAGAAATATTATTCCATTCTCACTATTTTATAATGAATTGAAAGCAATTATTCTGATATCGATGAGATAAGAATCTAATAAACGGACACCCTCCGTTTATTGAATGAATCGTTATCCATGGAAATGAAGTGGTATCTTTTTATTTTGTCTAAAAGAAGAATAATTTTATTGACGCATAATCGAGATGGAATAGATATTAAAAATCTTGGAAAATTTAAAAACTTTTGTTCTGAAATTGTTTTTAAAATTTTAGAATATTATTCCTGCCAAAGGCAGTATAATTACTTTTAATATGGTTCTCATTACTTTTGACTTAGAATATTTTCCATTATATAAATAATAGGAGACTGTTAAAAAGTAATAGTTATTTAAAAATACTTATTATATTCTTGTTTACAGAATTAGATGTTGTCATTTTATAACGTTTAGTTTTTTTTAATAAATCTTATTGCTTTTATGCTTATCTGTATTTTGTATTTTAATAAGGTTTCGAAACCAGGTTTTTACATTTTCAGTTGGAAAACTTTTGGACTTTATGAATGATGAAACACATTAGTTTCTGTAGCTATGCAAAAACCGAAGCTAGA